TCATTTAAGTCTATCTCATCCATTTGCCCATATGGGTTTGAACTATTAAAACCGCTTGATGTGTCTGTAATTAGGCTTCTTTCTGTATCCAACACCGCTTGAGACAATACAATTGCATTGTTCTTTTCTGGCTCCTTTAATTCAACAGACATCTGTGTGGGTACACTTGTAACATTTGAAACTCCAGCATCAATGTTTTTCGTACCATTAGTTTCTCGACTAGGTCTGAAAAGCTGCTGAAACGCAGGAGGATTCTCGAAAGACATATCACAAATTTGTGTGTGATTTTTCGCTGCAGTGGAGACACGACAAGCACGTGATGAAATTGGGCTGACGGCAATATCTTCTGCAGTGATATCTTGGCCAGACACTTCCTGTTTGAAGCCATCTTTCTTTGTGACTGAATCTTGACTTGATAATTCTTCACGCAGTTGTTTGTCATCTGGAAGAGAAGACGGAGCTACTCTAATTCTGCTCAGGCGAAGTATTGGCACTAGGTCATTCTGTGGAGTGTTTTGTGAAACACTTTTATCTTGTGCTGTAATATCTTGGGCAGAGACCTCCTGATCGAAGTCATCTGGCTTTTTTGTGGGGTTTTCAAATGACAGCCTCTCAGACAGAAGCTGGTGCTCTTGGTGCAAACAGGGATCTATGCTTATTCTTTTTAGCTGTAGTATTGGCAGAGGTACACTGTGTGGAACAGCTGGTGAAACACTTTTATCCTCTGGTTTTCCGCTGATATCTTTAAAACAGCCGCCTAGATTTCCTTCCCATGACATATCACCAACTACATCTGGGTCAATGATGGGATGCTCAGTTTGACTATCTGTCAGTTGGAATGAGTTATACATCACTGCATTAGATAAATAGTGTAATTGCATTTTCCCCTCTGCTGTGCCTTGTTCAATTTCTTGAGTCTCCATTGTTTTGTCTTGTCTCGTTTCTGGGTTACCCTTTGCAAAAGAATCAACGAACACTGAAGAATTTACCACAGTTTCTAGCTGGTTTGGAATTTCTGGTATTGTATTTGCGTCTGGCACAAAAAGAGAACCCGTTTTCTCACTACAGCTAGAAGATGTAGCATGCTCATGGGATGTCTTCTGCTCACTGAGGTACGTTGTTTTTTCATCCATACTGTAACCAGATATTGTTCACTGCCGAACTAATTCTGCTTCGGTCGTGTAGTTCAGATATAAACCAACCAGAATACACTGATATAACGGCTTTACCAACAAAAAGTGAAACTTTTTTTTTTTTTTTTGGGTATCTTTTTTAATCAGATAATTAAATAAACAGTCTTTGAAATACTGGAACACTATGTGAATAATTATTATTTATTTATGTCGTGGTTACCTGAATTTGCTGCGTTTAATGACTACATTCATGAGTGGATGTACTTAGTAAGTTTGTCTTAAATCAAAAACTGAAAAATGTCTCGTTTGTTCACAAAATGTGTGTATACGTTGTACTACAACTATATAAAATACATGTTTCCGCATCCAAAGTGTATATATTCTAATATTACTTCAAGTAATAGTATGCATACAAGTAATACAATCTTCCGGTAGAAAATTATTTTTAATAACGTTTTTTAATGCGATGGTAGGTTGGGCTTAGAGAGTTCCAAGTATTGGTGGTTTTATCAGAAATACCCCATTCAAACTTTAAAGTTTATAACTAGGATGTGTGGTGTTTTTTTTTGTTTTTCGGATACTAGACACATTGTCATAGCCAGAGTTATGTTTCTGGTATCCTTTACATAAAGAGTGGTCGCTAAATTTTGGAGAATTATGACTGTTAAGAGAGACACAGAGAGAGAGAGAGAGAGAGAGAGAGAGAGAGAGAGAGAGAGAGAGAGAGAGAGAGAGAGAGAGAGAGAGAGAGAGAGAGAGAGAGAGAGAGAGAGAGAGAGAAAGAGAGAGAGAGAGAGTTATGAATAATAAATTAAGAACCGCCATCAGAGCACTGGGGACATTTCCATAAGCGCCCCGTTCCCATCTTCAGCAGTGAGCGCAGAGTTCCAATTTCGATAGTAATAGTACCAGTTGTTGTTGCGTACGTTCGCCGGTTGTAAATCCCGATGGAAAGACATGGTTGTTCGTCCATTTCTGGACTTCGGCTTAGTTCCAGGACCAGAGTTTTGCGTGTGCATCCGTTTTACAGATCTTGCATAGATGCACACAGACTGTTGGTTAATTGCCTCTCAGATAGATGCACTCTGATTTTAAAGGAAGTCCCCAGGTTACGACATGCTCGTTGGGGAAGCAGTTGGTCTATTCTTGTTTTCCCCACAATGGATACCATAATCCACACGGGAAGAGAGTACCAGTAACAGTCTGATTGTATGTCCGTCTCACCCTCCTCTGAGTGTTGAGTGTGGGCCATATTCTCTAGTCACTCCTCGCTGCACTATTCTCTTCAGACGTTGATGATCTGTTTGTGTCTCTAAACTGTTTACTCGCTTCCACAAGGCCCTTACGACATCTAGCTTGTCCGGTATTGTTTGACAACAAAGTGGTGAAAAACCAGCCAATCCATCTGCCTGTTCATTTCCCAATATACCGACATCCCCTAATGCAAATATCAAAAGGGCGCTATTTACTCGGGAACGCTGAAGCGTTGTTTGCCACTCTATACGGAGCATACCTCTCTCCGTCTTTCTCAACATGCTCAGTGAGTCAGTTACAATCACGACACGTGGTTCTTCAGTTAGTGGCAGTGACCGCCTCCACCTCCAGACTCAAACTAGATGTTGTCGCACCAGAAGGTTATGGACAGGTATAATGACCATCTCAGTCTTGCAGCCTGTCCTACTACCTTGTTTTCTCCATGGGCCTGTGTCAATGTTGATATCTTTCCGTTCGCGTTTGCTTATGTGCTTAAAGCTTAACATTGGTCTTCCCGCAGATCTTATCACTGTTACCAGTTCACCATACATGATTTATGTTCGAATGTGACCATTCTCCATGCGAGAGACATGTCCCAACCAACGCAGGCATCTTTGCTTTAGTAGAAAGAGGACTGCTTGGTATGGATGTCTTTTTTGAGTACACATTCATTGGGAAGTCTCGCCATGATATACCAAGAGTGCGTCCCACACAGCGCATGTGGAATGTATTCACTTGCTACTACTACTGCCACATGAGAAATACATTCAGCACTTTCATAATTATAAACCAGACGGGATGAACAAGAAATCATTGTTTAAATTACCACTGCCAACACCACCATATGAGAAACCATCCAGCTCTAACAGAGCCGCTAAATATCACATTTATAAACCAGATGGGTTGAACAGGAAATGATTGTTTTAGTTACAGCAGCTGATGGATAACGTACTCCATATAAACAGCTCCAGAGAGCTGCGTGGCAAGGTCAAGCAATTAATTACTAGGACTAAAATCCATATCCTCATCATCATCATCAGGTGCCTTGCCGACTGGCGTGGGCGATCATGGCTCTCCATAATCTGCGATCTCCTGCAGCATGTATCAGTTCGGGTGATGACACACCTCCATGCCATGCAACAAGACTGTCAAGCATCTTCTCTCGTTGTCTTCCTCTATCCCTTTTTCCACAGATCTTTCCAGTGGTCACAACATGTTCTATTTTCCCTCGTCTCATAACATGGCCGAAAAAGGGTGACTGTCTCCTTCTGATGTCTGTGATAAGTTGTCGTCGGGCTCCCGCCTCTTTCAAAATCTCTTGGTTGCTCTTTTTGGCTGTCCAAAGTATTCTAAGCATTCTTCTGTAAAACCACATCTCTGACGCAAAATCTATATTTAGAAGGGTAAAGAATGCCCCATGGCATCTTTGAAGACATCTCCCATAACAATAAAATTGAGAATAATCAACGACTGAACACTAATGAAACAATATATCCACCATGTTGATGACACAATTTAAGTGAGATTGTTTTATTATTTATAGTACAATTTCTTTCATAATCACATCCCACATCAAAGCAACATGTGAAACAATACAAATTACATTTGAGTCATATCAATAATTACAAGATATATACTTTTAAAATAACAAATATATACTCCGAGAAGTTAATTAACACTGTATATCCCAATTATAACCCTGATAATTGAACAGGATATTTAGAAAAATTTTTACTACTTCATCATCATCATCAGGTGCCTTGCCGACTGACGTGGGCGATCATGCCTCGCCACAATCTGCGATCGCCTGCAGCATGTATCAGTTCGTGGGCTGACACACCTCCATTCCATGCAACAAGACTGTCAATAATCTTCTCTCGTTGTCTTCCTCTATCCCTCCTTCCACAGATTTTTCCAGTGGTCACAACATGTTCCATTTTGCCTCTTCCCATAACATGGCCGAAAATGATGACTGTCTCCTTCTGATGTCTGTTATAAGTTGTCTTCGGGCTCCCGCCTTTTTAAAAAACTCTTGGCTCCGAGAAGAGTGGTAAGCATCACTTTAGAAGTTCCAGGTAGTAAGCATCCTTTGGATATTCTCTCCAGGTGATGCCAGTGTAATGGGAAATGAGCAAGCATATAGACTGGCCGGCTCTGCACCACTTGGTGGTGAACTGATCTATGACAAGCTAGATGTGAGAAACCCTCTGGAAGCGCAAATAGATCATTACTGTGTGAGGAGAAGGCGCTGCGAGGAGTTGCCAGGGCATCTGACCGATGCTCAACAATCAGGGGAAGGCGAGACGGATATACAATCAGACAGTTACTGATGCCATCGGAATTGGAACTCTTCTTTTGCTGCTTAAGATAGAAACGGAGCGCTTATGGGAGTATTATGAGTGCTATGACATCGATTCCTGATTCAATTTTCAAAATTCAACATTCAAAACCTCTTGGTTGCTCTTTTTGGCTATCCATATCTACTACAAATTGCCAAGAGACTAGTCTCAACCAATCAGCGGCCAGATTTCCAACAGTTATCGGTTACAGCGTTTGTTTACAGATGGCTGCTCTACGGCTTGTTTATGACTCAACGGCAGTGAAATACATTTTATGCCTTTCCAGTTTTCTTCTGGCTTAATTTTATTTATGGACATGGACGGTTAAAAATTTTACTCTTTTTTCTTTATTTTATGGACATAAAGAAACCTGCTGATATTTGGAATTGTACAGTTTGTGCTAAACATGGTTAATGAATGTCTTCTCGACTTTTCTACTGTTTACTTTTTACATCATACTACCAAAATATTGACATTATTTATTAATTTTTTTCAGTAATAATGTTAGTTCTTCTACCATACTTTCTTTAATATATATTACTAATATTTATTTTATTAGCTTGCGCGTTTTACATTTCTTTTTACCTAGTTGCAGTTGAGACTTTATACTGTCGTCTGCAAGAATTAGTCAAAGAAGTTAATCGTATAAAACAAAAACAGCAAGTGTTGATCATAATCAGACATTAATCTACAGGAAAAACTCAAGTATTGGAACAAAACCAAAGTCCAGATTTGATTTCATTTGATTCAAGAACCGACATCACAGCACTCAGGGAATTCCCACAAGCGCTCCGTCTCATCTTCAGCAGCGAGCAAAGAGTTCCGATACTAATGGTGCCAGTAGCATTCTGATTAAACGTCCGTCTTGCCTTTCCTCTCAGCCTCGAGCATCTGCCAGAACCTTTTTGTCCCCCCCCCCCCCCCCGCATCAATCTCACCAGACTGTGGTGATCCATCTACTCCTCCGAACTGTACACACTCTCCCACAAGGCACTAACCACGTCTGCCTTATCATGTATCAGTATTCCACCAAGTTGTGCAGAGCCAGCCAGTCTGTCCGTCTGTTCATTTCCCAACACATCGGCGTGCCCCGGTGAAAAAATCCAGACAATACTACTCACCCGTGTCCTCCGCAGCGAAGCATGCCACTCTGCACAAAGCATACCTGTTCTGATCTTCCTCAGCATGCTTTCTGAGTCAGTTACCATCACGATGTGTGTGTGGTCATGTTCTCTAGCAAAAATAAGTCCAGATATGGATGTATAACCAGGCTTGTTGTACATTCTGTTGTTCTGTTTTATGTTATTGTGTTTTTCAATTTATTGATATTCATTTAATTGGTTTGAGTTTGAGTTTTTCAATTTAATTTTTTTTATCTGACTTATTATGTCAACTTTGAATAAAGGAATATTTAATAAAAAAATTTTGAAGAATTAAAAAAAATTTTTGTTTTTAACTCTGTCAATCCCAAAGAACACATCATACATTCATGTGTTCCTACCCAGAAGCCTAATAAATGCAAGATGTTCCAATTTTACATCTCTCTTTACTACCCCTTGATGTTCTGATGCCAAACCTCCGTAGGACTGAAAGAGTTAAGAATCCAGCCTTCTGCTGGCTTCATAGCAGCTGTGCTCACATGTCGTAGTTGTAATTGACTCACAGAGCATGTTGAGAAAGGTGGAGACAGGTGTGTAAAGTGGCAAGTATCGCTTCAGAGGCCCTGTGTAGATGGCATTATTTGGACACTTTCTCCAGATCATATTCAGGTGTTGGCAAATAAACAGGCAGAAAGACTGGCTGGTTCTGCACTGCTTGATGGTGAATTGATGCTTGACAAGCGGGATATTGTAATGGGGAGCAAATGAACAGTACGGAGGCACATATACATCTTTACCATCTGAGGAGAATGGTTCTGGGAGGATTAACTACGAGATCTGGCTGACGCTCAACACTCAAGGAAAAAGTGAGACAGAATTACAGTCAGACTATCATTGGTATTGAAACCCTGTGCTTGCTGCTGGAGATGGGGACGGAATGCTTATGGGAATGTCCTGTGATGTCAGTTCTTGATTCAACATTTATTTTGAGAATTTACTTCATAAATAGTGTCCCAGAAATTACTGCATGAATTATATTTGTGTTTCTCCCTTTTGATTCCTCCCATCCATTGTGATATTATTTATTTTTCTTATGTTTGTTTATAGATTCTTTGGCTTGTAGTGATTTTGGTGACTGTAGAAGTATAACCTCTAGTGCAGCAGCAAGCCTAGCAACCCACCAGCCTGATCCAGTCAAGGCTGACGGAGAACAAAATCCTAATCTAACTGCTAAAAAAGATCAAGAAAGTATCTGCCCTAAAAATCTGTTCATGGATAATGGAGAGTTTCTTTGTAGAGAAAGTATGCTGAGCTCTAAGAAAGGGGCAGAGAATGATGTAACTGATGGTTCAGTTTCAGTGAGTTATGGAACTTGTACTTCTGTCAGCCCAGTTGATGCTTGTGATATGACAAGGTATGTATCTGGCAGCTCACTACCTTCGGATGGCCACAACTCCTCATCAGCACCTGATGGTTGTACATATCTGCAACATTTTCCATCACATCTTGATGAGAGCAGACTTGTTCTAAATAAGGGTTTTGATGCAAAGATGGAATATTCACAAGCTGTGGTGCAGAGTAAACATAAATTGGACGTTTCAAGTAATTTAGTCTCACAGAGTGAAGATGAACAAAGACGCTCGCTCAAGCTCATTCATTCAGATTCATCACATGTTCATGTAATTGAGAGGAAAGTACTCTCAGAATCAGACTTCCGTTTTGATGAGAAATCAGACGTTTGCATGGATAGCAATCCTCATGTATGTGATGAAGATGGGATCAGCCATTTTGTTAGTGATGGTTGTCATTCCTTTTTAGGTAAGACTAGTTTTTGTGCATTCTGTTATAATAATAATAATCATCAATTTTTTTTAAATGTACAGGACCCTTTTTATGACTTACAAGCAGTAGGCATATAATGCTAGATCTACGTGTTTATAGACCAATCAGCTCTTGATGTGTGACTTGGTTGGCATTACGATGGCAGCCTTTACTTCCCAGAATATTACTTAATAGGCTAGGTTGACTTGAGATCCAGAGGCAGTTATGAAACAAATCTGTTTTAATGTAGATTTGAACCTATACCTTTGGCCGACAGTCACACAACTAGCTGCTATGCTACCATGGTTCCCAGTCCATCATAGTAACATAGATGTCTGGGCCAAGATCGAACAGACAAACTTGATTTTCAAAGGGTCACAAATTGGGCAGGCAGGCACTAAAATGGGAAATAAAGGGATCTCAGGAAAGTCAGTTCATTCGTTATGAGTTAGACTATCTTCACAGCGCTCCAGACACATCCATAGGTGCTCAGATTCCCCTCTCAACGTATTCATCAGCGTCGCCCGGTTAATAGTGCCAGTCCTATGATGGCTAAAAAGGCTGTGTGTATACAGTATGCTTCTCATGCTTGGCTGTACCAATCACAGTTCATTAGTGAAAATATCTTTGTTGAGGCATTCCTTCAGAAATCTTAACTGGCAAGCATGCATTGCAATTTGTGCATCTTAGTTTGAATAATCCACCTAGTAATTTCACTGTTGGTTGTGGGGACGTGACGCTTCAGAAATTCAAAACAATATTTTCTGGTTGTATTTAAATAATATGGACAAAAATAATACATTGTATAATTGTTTACCTTGCATATTTTGGTGTATCTCATTAGTGCATTTTATTTTAACAAAAAGTTCATGTGACAATTTGAAGTTCCCATGGTAATCTTGTGGCTGATCTTGAATTTCCCTGGAGAGAGATGTACAGCCTAACTTTACAATGTGATTTATGTATTTCGGTGACAAAAATTCATTTGTGTGCTTCATTATATGTTGATTTAACTTTGTAATAATGCACCTGACGAGATACAGCAATATATGCCAGGTAATGCATTGCTTGTGTCCGCATTATTTAAATTTACAAGGGAAAAACATTATTTGGAAAATCTAATAAAGACAGCTGGCATAGTAGTGACTGTGTTCTCCCTCATGTGCCAGTTGGTCACCCAGTTGTTTAGCTTCACATAAAAAAAAATTGGATTATTTAAAAAATGGTTGTAAGAGTCGTATCTGTGGAAGTCGGAAAAATTTAAACCTAGTAATTAACTTGAAATATCCAACTCTAACACTAAATCAGTACTGTTGCATGGAGAAGAAACATAAAGACAGCTAAAGCAGTCACTAGTAAACTACACACATCCCTTAATTTATACCTGTACAAAATAGAAAGAATTACTTTGCACGACAGAATCACCTATGTAATCAGTTGTTATTTTTTAATTCTTTCTCTGTTCAGAATTTACTGTAGATGTAATTTTTGACTCTGAAAGGGTTTAAATAACATTAATATGGAACTAATCAATTACATTAACACTTATACAATGTCTAGAGCAGAAATAGATACGGAAAGCATATAAAATATGAAATAACCAATAAACAGATGATTTACTACTGCATAATCAGTTGTTCTTGTACTGTGTTCCCAGGTGCCATAACTTTAGACCAGCTTGATGACGATGTCCTCTACCACATTGCACGTTTCTTGGAGGCTCGTGTGCTGAGGTTTGCCCTGAGCCTCGTCTGCCGGAGATTTTATGCCATGTTTGCCAATGAAACCTACTGGAGGACACGGATAACCGTCAAGTGGCCGAAACCATATCCAGCTGTATCTTGTGAGTGGCAGAGGCAGCAGTAGTTGTATTAAACCACTACTTCAGACTGACTTGAATTAGCCTTGTACAGTAAAGGACCATTTTCATGCCTTCAGGTGTATTGGGCATACAGGGCTAGACCTATATTTTATAGACCGATCGGCACTCAGTGGACGATGTGGTCAGCATCCTGCCGTCCATCTTTACTTCCCAGGACTACACCTGGTACCCATCCAAGGCTGGATCAACCTTGGCCTCTGGAACCGAGGTCATTTTTGAAAGAAAGAAGTCTGGTACCTTCAGGACCTGAACCCATGACCTTCCAATCTGCAGGCGAGTGTCTAACCACAACATCATGCAGCTGCCAGTTGACTTTGTTCACAGAATAATATATCTTGTTTCATCATTTTATTGTATCTTATTCTCTTCTTAGCATTCACCGGCTGTAAACTCCAGCAGAAAGTTCAGGTTGTTCATCCATTTTTGGACTTTGGTTCGGTTCCAGAGTTTGAGTTTTGTGTGCTCATCTATTATACATATTTGGCTTTTTTGAATGCATACAGATGAGAAAAGAGAAGGGTTAGGTATGGAGTCAGCTTACCCAACCCCTAACAAACTTTTTGCTACAGAAAATGGCAGGAAAAGGAATTCAGGAGTAGTGGAGAAATAAGTGAAATGTCTGGGCAACCACTTGTAACAGCAGATATAAGACAGAGACGATGGCGCTATACTGGGCACATACTAAGAAGAGTTGAGTTTAGTTGAGTAAAGAATTGACATCACAAGACTCTGGGCATTCCCATGCGTGCTCTGTCTTCATCTTCAGCAGCCAGCACAGAGTTACAATACTGATGGTACAGGTCACAATTTGGTTATATGTCCGTCTTGCCTTTCCTCTGAGTGTAGTGAGCAGGCCAGACCATCTGGTTACACCCAGGTGCCTCATATTCTCCAGGCCATAAAAATCTTGTTTCTCTACTGATTCCATTACTTGTTCTTGTATACTGAGAAGAGACGAACAAAGAGTCATCAAAGGGCACTGAGATGGGAAATAGAGGGACTGAGGAAACGAGGAGGTCCAGAGAAAACCGGAGGTGCTGGGCCGAATTCCATCTATGATATCAAAGTGATTTACACAGGATAGAACGAAATGGAGAAATTGACTGAGTCCTGTGTGACATATCATGGCTCAGCAGAACAAGGAATGAATGAAAATATGTGCATTGAGGGACTGGCTGTGAGTCTTGGCTTTTACAATGAAGGATTAACAGGAGAAGATTGAAACACAAAACTAGAATTATATGGAACTGACATGTCAAAACAAAATGTGATACCAGTTTTTGGATTGAATATGTTACGCAATGTTACATTATTCTTTGTTTATACTTCATTATACTGAGTCATTCGGTTTACTCTTTTTTTTCAATGGTCCTAACGTTATTTAGGGGAAAGGGGGGGGGGAGAGTGGGGGGGGGGGAATACATTTTAAGACAGTATAATATTATTTTATTTCTAGGCATGAATACACCATTACCTAGCCATCTTGTCTATATTTTTGACACATGCACAAGTGAGTTATTTTTACCATCAATACAGGCCTCACAGATTTTAACTGGGTAGATGCTTATGTGGAGAGAGAGGACAACTACAGAGTGTGGAAGGATGCTGCTGGTCACAAGCATCATTTCAAGTATTCATATAATCTGTTTGGAGGAGTAGATGCTGTGCATCTTATGAAGGTAAGAGCTGCTTAACATAGGACTTGAAGGTTTCTCTCTATCTCTCTCTCTCTCTCTCTCTCTCTCTCTCTCTCTATATATATATATATATATATATATATATATATATATATATATATATATATATATATATATATATATATATATATATATATATATATATATATATATATCCCTCTTCTTCGCGTTCACCAGCTGTACACTCTGGCGGAAAGTTCTGGTTGTTCATCCACTTCTGAACTGCAGTCCTGCTCCAGAACCTGAGTGTTGCCTGTGCATCAGTTTTACAGATCTCATTCACTTGAATGCAGACTGTTGGTTCCTTGCCTCTCAGGCAGATGCACTCCGACTTCAAAGGAAGCTCTCCAATTAATCGACTCTCACGCTTTTGGGTAGGCAGGGGGTCTGTTCTTGTTTTCCCCACAATAGGGCCCGGGAACCCCCACTGGGAAGCTCTCTATCTATCTATCTCTGTCTCTGTCTCTCTCTTTTTAAATCATCATGATGTGCCATGCCAATAAACATAGGCAGTCATGTTTCACTGTCTCACATAATTACCAGAATCATGGATCAGGTCAGTGTGCTATTGTTCAGCCCCATCCGTGTGGCTAAGCCATCCAGGTATTTATCTTTTTTGTCTTTCCCTTGTTGTCCTTTCCATTAATCAGTGCTAGATGTCACTAAGTTCTCACATTTATTGCTTCTCATAATATATCCAAAAAAATGTAGATTGTTTGTGTCTACTGTCTGTAAACACTTTGTGGTTTTCATCTGCCTCAAGGATGACCTCGTTGTTTGTTTTTCTTTTATTCCATGATATTCTTTATATTCTTCTCACAGATTACAATACAGCTGCCAGAAGATGTTTCTGAGCTTGTATGTTCATTGTCCATATTTCAAAATATAACACACATTCTTATAGCACTTTAATACCCAATGTCTCCTTAACAAGCATGTCCCACAAAGCAAATAATTAGGAGTGCTTCCTTCGAAGTCAGCGTACATCTGCCTGAGAGTCGAGGAACAAACAGTCTGCAAACAAATAATCTATATCTATAAAACAGATGCTCATGCAAAAATCAAGTTACGGAACAAGAGCAAAGTCCAGAAATGGATGAACAGTTACAACTTTCAACCACAGTTTACAGCCTTTGAACTGTGAGAAGAAGTTATATTGGGGCACATTGTGGTTATGAGGTAACTGGTGTCCTTTGGGGTGCATGGCTGAGATAAGATAGAAGCTGTGTTCCATAAGTAACATCACTAAACACAAATAACAATTAAATCAAACAAGTACACCGCACGTCATAAATTTGTGTCACTTTGTACATTCTGGTTTTCAGCACATGGACAAAAGCCTACATGGGGTTCAGTCTATAACAACAGCACAAAGTCTCTATCAGCCTTATGTTGAGAATTTAGGGCCACATGGCTAGTGCTGTCTCTAAGAGCTTTGAGCTTGAGAATTTAGGGCCACATAGCTAGTGCTGTCTCTATGAGCTTGATAATTTAGGGCCACATGGCTAGTACTGTCTGTATGAGCTTGGAGCTTGAGAATTTAGGGCCACATAGCTAGTGCTATCGCCATGAACTGTGCAGGTTAGGATTCTATTTTCCCCCGACAGAAAAAATCCACAGCCTTACAGTGGTTTAAAACCCAGGTCTGCCACATGAGAGCCCTGCACTTTTAATTGCTTGGTCAGCCACTCCTCAGCTTCAACAGCAACAAGCATAATATACATCTGTGTGTGGTACTGAACCAGATTTTCTACCAGATGTGTTATTTCCTTTCTGTTAGTGCCCGTGAAAAGAGATTAGGGTGGAGGCGGTAATCACAGCTTTCTGATGGCTTGGTAGCAGCACAGCCCGACATGTAATTGTAACAGACTCACTGAGCATGCTTCGGAAAAATGGAAATCGGTGTCCCTTGCAAAGAGTGGCTTGCATTACTTGACAAGACTCAGATCAAGATAATATAATGGAATTTCTGTCTAAGACATTCAGGTGTATGAGTTAAGAAGCAATTTGATAGATGAGCTTTTGCCGCTCCTGTGAGCAGTGAGCTACATTATGATAAAGCCGATGTGGTGAAGATTCTCAGGGATCACAACGGACAGTGCAATAGAATAGATAGAAAATCCATACATTGAAAGTCTTATTGAAAGGGGGTGGGGAGGGAAAGGTTCTGGAAGATATTCAATACTGAGGAGAAACACGCAGACTTTTGATCAGCTTGCAAATGGTACTGTTAGTATGTTGACTCTTCTTTGTTTACTGAAGGAGACGGAGTATGTTTGGGAATGCATTGAGTGCAGTGATGTCAGTTCTTGACTCATTCAGTCATTCATTCATTTATTCTGTAATCCAGCTCAATGTTTTCTTGTTTATCTGTTATGAAATTTTATCTTTTACTTACTACTAAACCTTCTGGCATTTCTTGTCATATTTTTATGATTCTCCCTCATCAAATGGATGTTGTAATCAGTGTATAGGTTTTTTGCGTGTTTATACTTTGTTTCAATTAAATTATTAGTAACCAGAAAATAGATACATACATCTTTCACCCTGTACACTTCCTCTGAGTAGAATATCAGTTAGAATACATCAGTTCTGCACTGCTTGATGGTAAACTGATGTATGACAGGCTGGATGTTGTGAGCAGTGTTGCCACTATTCTTTGACAAAAAACATCCAAAACAGAGTCAAAAAATATATAAAACATCTAAAATTCCGTTGAAAACATCTAGAAAAAACATCCAAATGGAAAGAGTCACAAATTACATAGCTATTGATATGACTTACCCTATAGAATCATGTCCTCATCTTCACTGAAGTCTGCCTCACAAGATCAACGGGATAAACTTAGCTTGGATGATGAAGTTGAAGCTTCAGATCCAAAATGACTCTGGTATGCTTTAGCTGTTCCAATTTCTTTTAATACTGTCGTGGAACAGGTTTCTTTTACACTCACTAAGGTGGTGTTATCTTGTTAGAAACCGAGACAAACTGTCTTTTGGTGCAAAGAGCCGACAGTGTCCCTGGAAACTCAGATACAGACTCGAATTGGCTCGCTAAAGAAAGTGAGCTGCCTGAATATCCTCAGAAAAGGGATAAGGGAATTTAGATGCCTAAACACTTAGACAGAGCAGATTACCCCTCCCGACAATTTCCCTTTCTGGTATTTAAATTAAGCCCCCATCTAGAATAGGTATATTGGTAGACAGCACTGACACCATACATACATCTAGAAATAAAATTAAACTTTAACTATGAATGTAAATCAATCATAGAAATGTTTATTAAAATTGAAGTAAAAGCCAATCATCTATTTACTTTTGAAATACAATATTCAAACTAAGTAGATGAAAGATAAAAATGATAGTAACATGAAACTGTCGTCGAGAGAGGATCAGTGGGAAATAACACAACAATTACCACCTAAAGTCTCCCAGAGGGTCGTCCGTTTCAGCGAATGAGGTGGAACGTTGGATTTGTCTCAAGCACCAAGATCTTCCTTAGGGCACTTTAATCATCAGCTACGACCAGCCTGGCAGTGGTTTGGAAGCTCGTCCTGCCAAAAGAAACAAGGAATCTCTCCTCGGCTTTTCAGCAGCTAGGGATGGAAACAATCAACAAAATTGTTGTCCCTACTGTTTTGCAATATAAAATATATTCACAACTCTCCCCTCTCTCTTCATATTGTCAGAAGTGGGATAATAGTCTAGTAGCATTGTCATTTACATAGCTTCCACTTCTGACTACTGTCCAGTCCAGATGAATGTCTTCCACCGGCGCTGAACACTCAGAGGAAAGACCAGGTGGATATACAATCAGACGACAGTTACTGGTGCCATCAGAATTAAAACTCTTAGGGGGGTGTCCTGAGTGCTGTGATGACGATTATTAATGCAACATTCTGTAGAATAGTTTGTGTAGATTTATTATAGATTTTGGTGAGAGTGTAAATTAGAATAATTCACTGTCATGTTTCAGGATGGCCAGTTGGTTGTGTGTGGGGACCGTAGCCGTACCTTGAACTTGATTGATTTCTCAAAGTACTCGGGACCTGATAGTGATGAGGTACAGATGCAAGACATGTTGTGTCACACTGACAGAGTGGTGCATCAGGTTGGTTCCTGGTTATTCCCTCACTTTTATGTTAGGATCGTCAGCTCTCAAATACAAATTGTGAATACCATCTTTATGTTTTCTGATAAAGAAGACGAATATGGAATATCTGTTTATATTTCCTGCTGTCTGAGATGAATAAGGTATATCAAGTTTACATTTTCTGCTGTCGGAGATAAATATCAAGTTTGTTTGTCCTGTTGCCGGAGATAGATAAGAAATATAATGTTTACATTTCCAGCTGTCAAAGGTAAATAATGATTGCATTTATTTATCCTGTTGCCATAGATTAAAAAAGAATATCATGTTTATGTTATGTTACAATTTTTACACCCCTCTTTGATTAAGTTTTATAACAGCCATATAGAAAGTTATAAAAGGACATCATGTTTAAATTGCCTGGAGGTTGATTATTTTTGTTCTGAAACAAAAATTAATGTGTATAAATATTGTATATCAGAGTTCATTTGTATGTAAAATCATATAGGTTTTTTTTTGGTACTTCAAATACAATGATCTAGGGCTGGATTTGGAGCATAGCTTCGGCAGGAAACAACATTGTGACTGGATCATGGGACACTTATGTCAGAATGTTTGATGTGGAAGCAGGATGCCAGCTGGCTTCAAACTTTAAGTGAGTTTTAAATCATTTATATAACATTCGAGTTTTAACTCTTTTTGTCCAAGGCAGTGTTATATTAACCTGCTGTACTCTGATTTTAACTTTTTATTCTAGGGCAGGGCTTTTCAACTGGCGGCCTTGCAAGTGGCCCACAGATAAATGCCATCTGTTTTGTGTTAACAATATTTCTATGCCTGGGCTCAGTCCTCTGGACCGGGATGAACCCAATTTTCAAAATTTCATTACTTGACCTTCTGCTGCCCTAAAAAAATACAAGGGGAAAACCTTTTCATGCCTGTGACGCATGGGCGTATGAGGCAGGACTCACATTCTTATAGACGAATCTGCCAATCGATGGGTGATGTAGTCAACATCATGCCCACCGCTTTTACATCCCAGGACTTTGCCTAGTACATCTTCTTCTTCTTTGCATTCACCGGCGTTAACTCTGGCAGAAATTTCTGGTTATTGATCCACCGCACCTCTGGACTTAGACTTGTTCCAGAACCTGAGTGTTGCATGTACATTCTTTTTACCGATATGACTTATCTGCATGCAGACTGTTGGTTTCTTGCCTGTCAGGAAAATGCACTCCGGCTTTTAAGGAAACTCCCAGTTAGTCTACTCTTACGACCTGCTTGTTGAGAAGGCTGTGTGTCTGTTCTTGTTTTTCCCACAGTGGGGCCCTGGAACCCACACGGGGGGAGCCTAATACATATTTTAGGCGGGGTTGACCGGGATGCCAAGGTCATTATTTTTAAATCTGACTTTTATTGTGAGATTTAATTTTATCGCCTGCCAACCTAATCATCCAAGATCGAGTGAATAATGAAATTATCTGGCAAATTGTGGGAATGATACCTTGTACTAGATTCATCGAGAAACTGCAGATCAAGTGGTTTGGCCATCTTGTTAGAATGCCGCAAGATCAAATACCATCACAAGCACTACATCTCAGAAGATCAGCTACAAGAGCAAGAGGACGGCTGCGGAAAACATGGATCGACAACATTAAAGACACTCTACGCCTTCACGGCATGACAATAGCCAGTGGCAGCCAACGTGCACTGGATCGCAAATTATTCCTCCCCACGACGCTTAATGGCAGAAGTGGTTGATGATGATGATGATGATGATTACATAGAGCCTTGTACAAAATGAACTCACTTAAGATGAACACACTGTCTAATATGAACAGTATTTTGGTCCCAGCAGGAATATACTTGTATTTTTTGCATATTTCAGTCTCTGGTAAGCAGAAATGTTTTTTAACACGAGCTCTTGATTTTTCACATACATTGGATTTCATGTAAACAAAGTTTTACCATATAAAGAATCTTTTGTGACAGAAAAGGTTAAGACGTGTATGTGAATGTGAAAACCCATCACTTGTTTCTGTGTGCATCTGTCTTTTAATTCAACTGAGCCTCCTTATCATGTTTGTTGTTGGGTTACTTTAGTTTGTCAGCATCTGTGTTTTATGGATTGTGAACACGGATTGTAATTCTAATACACCTTGTTCAGTTCAAACTGCAAGCATTTTGCAGCAAATTCTCTGTGCTGATTTTGACATTGGTATCTAGACTCGACCGTTCAGAAAGCAGTGGCAAACTACTGAATGTGAAAATGTGCCTAGAAACAGCCAACAAATGTTTGGGTTGGTTTATAACACCCTCTAATTAGGGATAACTTAAAAAAAAAAAAGTTTTGTTGTGTGTGTGTGTGTGGTATAATCCTTTTTTCTGAAAGTATAGGGAATGGTGCAATAAGAAAAGGAAGTCACCAGGTGGTATCCAATTCTTGCAAAGCTTTGTAGCCAGTGTGGATGAGAGGCAAAGAAAAGGCAGAAGGTATCGCTGAAGGAAATTATTAAATAGTATCTGCTAACAACGGGAGCCACGGTTATATAATGGCTAGATGCTTGCATGCCAGCCTGAAGGTCAAGGGTTACAATTTTTAATCGAGATATTTTTTTTCAGAATTGACCTTGGCTTCCAGCTCGAGCTATCCTAAATTGGCTACCACGTAATTTTGTAGGAAAGGAAGAGGCATATGTAATCAGCTGGCCCTGGAACTCTAAATATCAGTTTTCTTTAACACCTTCTGAGGGAGATGGAGCCTAAATTGGTATGTCCTGAGTGACATTTCATCAGTTCTATTAGACAATTTCTGACAGTTATATATCATGGTGCATTCTGTTGAAAATTACTTTGCTCTTTTGGGCCCAGGAGAGCAGGTGTTGTTGTTCTCCTTCTCCTCCTCCTTCTTTTTCTTCTTCTTCTTCTTCTTCTCTTCTTTTCTTCCTCCTTCTGTGCTTCTCCTGAAAAGGGTGGTTGGCATGTTGTTTACATCTAGGGTGTGAGATCTGTGCCAAACACATACAATTTCCGCGGATCCTTAATTTGTAGCCTTTTAGATTTTGTCTAGTTTACCCCTCACCCCCACTCCCACCTTAAATGGGGTCCCACAAACATAGTAAGACCAAACTAGATAATTTGTTGTTTTAAATTTTCATTCACAGATGTCACTCTTCAGTGTTGAGCCTGTATGCAGAAAATAATGAAACTATTGCCAGTTGCTCGGACAGAAAGGTGTACTTTTTTGACCATCGCACTTCAGCTGCCCGATCGGAGACTTTCCACACACAGCCGGTACTTTGTGTTGCTGGGAATGACAATTTTGTCATATCAGGAAGTGAGGACAAGTCTGTTTCTGTATTTGACCGTCGAGCTGGCAAGATTTTCATCATGTTCAAGGTAGGAGCACGTTGAAGGGCAAATAGAATCTGTGTTGTTGTTGTATGCATGTTAGACAGGAACAAGAACCAGACAAGCTGGAAAAAAAAAACATTACTTCGCTATAGAAATGAGGTTTTTGAGAAGAATGCAAACAGTTTCCTTGAGCGATAGAAAATTAAACAGTCCTCATCAAGACTCATTAAAGTTGTAAAGTGAGTAAAACAAACAGATGTAGACAGTCTGTTGTTTCCTTCCCTCTTCCCCCTGCCCTTCATGTTATGAGAAGGATTGGACTCAAGATATATGACAAGATTGATGAAAAGAAAGCATGAGGAATAATACCTGGATGGCTTGACCACCTGGATGGGATGAGATAACATTGACCTGATTCATGATTCTGGTGATCGTGTGAAATGGCAAAACATGACAGCCTATCCTTTTCGGTGCAGCTCATGATGATGGTAGGACATGATAACATCGTCGTCATTGATGACAAACAATAAGTATCATCACACAAAGAACCTTATATAAGCTCATATTACTCATAATTTTGTAGTTTTAACTCTTTCATGACCACATTTTTTCTGGGATTTCGACAGCATTTATTTTGAGCAGATTTTTTTTTACTGCAACATGACATAGCTAAAAACCTTCCCAAAGAAAAAGTATTGGCTGTTTAGGGACATGTAATGTATCAAATTAAAGAGAAATGAGTGCAGAATAAATCTAAACTATTTAAATGACAGTATTACGACAAAATATTACTATAGTCATACAACCTTCAAGGATGTTGGACACATATGAAGATTATTTACTAACAAAATTGTGTGCTTACCTTATTTTTTACTTGTCCGGCACGCTGCTATCCATTTCTAAGAATTCACATGCCTTCTCTATTCAATTATTTATCAGCTAGTCTTTATTTGAAAAAATTAATTTAAATGCTGAGATTTTACATGTTATGACGATTTTTTATGACATATCAGATTTCACAACAATTGAAATCGTGAAAACAGCTGATCCCAAAACAGATGATCAGATTGAAATATTGTGTTCTATCTTCATCCTAACCTGTTTATCAACACAGGTTTGTCACATTCATTATGAATTATAATATCAAGACTATTTCATTATGTGGCTGAGGTTCAACAATGACAGAGCATTGTGAACAGTTCTAGACCTTTTTCCTTTATCATTTAGTGTAGAAAAATAATGTAAAAATTGTCTCACTTCTAAATAATTTTTAAAAAATCAGAAAGTGAAGCACACACCATGCCAGTTAAGCGAAAAGACTTCCTCTCACTAATCCTAGATATCAAAACGTTCGTAAAAATTAGTTTTTCCTGCATATGAAACAGCGCCAGTATACTGGTCAATAGTCTGATCGGGATAAATTCAAACATCAGTTAACTGCTGATTAGTCCACAAAGAGTTATTAAAGTATAATAAGAATAGCACTAGAACTGACTTTAAAAAAAAAAAATACTCTTTCCTCTCTTTGTGTCAGCTGATTTTCATTGGATGCTTTGCATGAGGTGCATTTCAGAACAGACCCTTGTTGAACCTTGACTAAATGTTGGGAACAAATCTGCTTCATTAATTGCTTCATCCAGCTCCAAGTAAATCTAGTCAACTTGATCTTTTAATTTGAATTTAAGGCTTCTGGTTGATCTACAAGATTTAGGAAGAACATAGGGGCTTTTGATCTGAAATGCTTTCACAAGTTTCTCAGATTGTCATGGACCAAGAAGACATACTGACATTCCAGAAGATGTTAACACTGAGGAATATTGGTTAGTTAACAGCATCCTATCCCAGAAAGTAAAATATTTTGTCCATATTAAGTGCCATGGTAGATTGCAAAGAATAATAGAGAATGACATGGTAACAGGAAAGAGGAGCAGCTACCAACTGGCATGAAGATGGGCATAGGATATAAATGATACATTAGGTGGTAAGAAACAGCACGAGGCAAGAGAGCTTGCGAGAGACCAAGTTTCTTTCAGGCAGACTGTTATAAGAGTTACATTCTGCAAAAGACCTACTACATGATGATGATGAGTTAATCTATGTGAAGACGACCATTCAGCAGTCTTTTGTTTTCAAACAAATCCTCGGTAACCCTGTAAGGCTCATGAAAATACTATTTTTATGCTTTTAACAACATTACATAATAAACTAATTCACTACATGATTGTTATAATAACATAGAGATTTGGAAACACTTTCAAGTTGTGAATTTATGCTTTTACACTGCCCAGTGGTAAATTAAAAAGAGCGACACATAATCACAGTGCCGTGTGCCGAATGGACTCTGGCACAGTTATTATATAGGAATGAAGAGTTTCAAGTTTTTATGGAAACTCTACAGCACCATGATGTGCCTATGGTCAAAGCAGCCAGAAAAACACATGAAGCAGGACCTTATATCTCCCTCGACACACAAAGCAAGACCTTAAATCGCCCTCGACACACAAAGCAGGACCTTAAATCGCCCTCGACACACAAAGCAAGACCTTAAATCGCCCTCGACACACAAAGCAGGACCTTAAATCGCCCTCGACACACAAAGCAGGACCTTAAATCGCCCTCGACACACGAAACAGGACCTTATATCTCCCTCGACACACGAAGCTAGACCTTATATCTCCCTCGACACACAAAGCAAGACCTTATATCTCCCTCGACACACGAAGCAGGACCTTATATCTCCCTTGACACACAAAGCAAGACCTTAAATCGCCCTCGACACACAAAGCAGGACCTTAAATCGCCCTCGACACACGAAGCAAGACCTTATATCTCCCTCGACACACGAAGCTAGACCTTATATCTCCATCGACACACAAAGCAAGACCTTATATCTCCCTCAACACACGAAGCAGGACCTTATATCTCCCTCGACACACGAAGCAGGACCTTATATCTCCCTCGACACACGAAGCAGGACCTTATATCTCCCTCGACACACGAAGCAGGACCTTATATCTCCCTCGACACATGAAACAGGATCTTGTATCTCCCTCGACACACGAAGCAAGACCTTATATCTCCCTCGACACATGAAGCAGGACCTTATATCTCCCTCGACACATGAAGCAGGACCTTATATCTCCCTCCACACATGAAGCAGGACCTTATATCTCCCTCAACACACAAAGCAGGACCTTATATTTCCCTCAACACACAAAGCAGGACCTTATATCTCCCTCAACACACAAAGCAGGACCTTATATCTCCCTCAACACACAAAGCAGGACCTTATATCTCCCTCAACACACAAAGCAGGACCTTATATCTCCCTCGACACCCTGAAGCAGGACCTTATATCTCCTCGACACACGAAGCAGGACCTTATATCTCCTTTGACACCTGAAGTGGTAGAAGAGGACCTGAAGAAGTAGAAGAAAGACCTTTTTTTTAAACACCATAAAGCACACTGAGCATATGATTCTAGTCTGATATTTTTAAGCCAATTGACACTTAGTAAACGATTGGATCAAGTAAACGATTGGGATAAGTAAACGATTGGGTCATTATCACATCAAGGATCTTTATTTCTCAGGATGCTTCTTGTTACCCATTTTAGGAGGGGTTGACTGCTTGAATATTTAACACAACGGACGCAGGCCATTGTCAGTGTCCCAGGATCAGTTAATTCCCTGTCCAGCAAATTGAATGAATAGATGGCTTGTACTACACATGGTAATTGACTTCTCTGGCATGTGGCTTTCATTTTGCTTGGTGACTGCACTCGGAAACCTCTCTGAACGCCGCAATCTTCACACCATGCAAAATAGTGTCTCTGAAAGTCTAGATTTGTGAATATAAAAAATTATGTATACTTTAACTATATTGACATATCATTTTAAATGAATAACAGATATTCGCCGGCAGTGGATTTTTTATTGCTACGAAAATTAGAAAGGAGATAAATAAACGGATAGCCTCAAACGGAAAATGGACTAGAAACGTTAAAGGACGACGAGACAGAAAAACGACTTACATAGGCACATGGAACATATGTGGTATTGCCAACAAAGAGCCACAAATAGTGGATTTCATGAAAAGAAAAAATATACACGTCATGGGTCTTGCGGATACAAGAAAGAAAGGATATAATACGAAAGAAATACATGAAAATTATGTTTTAGTATGGAGCAGAGTACCCACTAAAGATAGGGCAAAACATGGTGTCGGATTTATACTTCATCCCGAGACAGCAAAATTAATAACAGGAACAGAATTTATATCAGAAAGAATTATTTTAATCAAGTTGACAGAAGGAAGTAAGACTACAACGATTATTTAGATATATGCACCTTGTAATGATAGTTACTCTGAAGAAGAAAAAGAAGACTTTTACGAGAGACTTACGGACACCATCAATAATGTTAAAGAGAAAGAGGACATCATAGTAATGGGAGATTTTAATGGTAGGGTAGGTAAAAGAAGATCACCATGGGAGAGATACCTTGGCCCATTTAGCGACACAACCACAGATTGCAATAGAAATGGAGAACACCTGCTAAACTTGTGTGCTGAACAAGATCTCTACATTACCAACACATTCTACCAACATCGCCAAAGTCAGGTTAAAACGTGGTACAAGTGGAACAACTTAGATCAAGCGTCACAAATTGATTTTATACTAGTCAGACAACGGCAGAAGAGGAAGGTAAGAGACTCAAAAGCTGTCCCAAATGCGGGACTGGATTCAGACCATCGCCCAGTAGTTATGAACATATGCAACTCAAGTAGAAACAGTCTACATAAACAGAAACGTGAAGAAATCATCAGCACTAAGAAATTAGAGGAAGAGAATATCAAACATGAATTTGAACTAGAAATAACAAAGGCTTTTGCAGATATTGCCAAGGAACCAGTAAGAATTGAAGAAGAATGGGATTATTATAAATCAACCATCACGAAGATATTAAAAGACAAGTGTGGTACCAGAAAGACGGGCAAAGGCAAGAAAAAGGGTACCGCTTTGTGGAATGAAGAAGTCAAAGAAGCAGTGTCAAATAAAAAGAAGATGTTTCAAATATGGTTAAAAACAAAAGACGAAAAGGATTACATTAGGTACAGACTAACTCGAAGAGACACCAAGAGAACAATAAAGAAATCCAAAGAGGATTCATGGAAAAAGTATGGTGAACACCTAACACAGCTATGTACAGAATCATCAAGAGACTTTTATAAGAGTGTGAAAGCGATGCGATTAAGAGAAGAAAGCTTCAATCCAACATCAGTCATAAACGATAAAAATGGAAAACCATTATTCAGCCAAAAAGAAATTAAAAAAAGATGGGAGGAATATTTTAAAGAACTTTTGAACCCGTCGGGAGTACATGAAACAGCAGAATTCCATTCAAGGGCTCCAGATCATCTAGAACCACATATCCTGCGGGATGAGGTAGAGAAAGTTATCAAAACAAGTAAAAGACACAAAGCAGCTGGTATCGACGGAATAACAACAGAAGTCATCCAGGCTGGAGGGGACACTATGATCACCTGGCTGGAGAGAATTTTCAATAGAGCATGGGCAGAGAGAAAGGTACCAGTGGATTGGCAAAGATCAGTTGTAGTACCTATCTGGAAGAAAAAAGGAAACAAGAGAGAATGTGGAACTTATAGAGGAATATCTTTACTAAGTCATGTGGGGAAAATGTATGCAAAGATCTTAGAAGGTAGGATAAGAGCAAAGGTTGAACCTCTACTGAGTAAAGCACAATTCGGTTTCAGGAAAGGGCGAGGTTGCACTGATGCCATATTTGCACTAAGACAAGTCTGTGAAAAGACACTCGAATACGATAAAGAGCTGAACGTGGTCTTTGTAGATCAAGAGAAGGCATTCGACCGTGTGGACAGAGATGTGCTGTGGAGAATTCTTGACGATTACGGAGTGCAGGGTCAATTATTAGACAACATCAGAGCCCTCTATGAAAAAAGTGAAAGTGCAGTAAGAACATCTAGTGGTCTTTCTGAATGGTTCAAAGTCACAACTGGTGTCAGACAAGGATGTGTACTGTCACCATTACTTTTCATAACATACATGGATAAGATCACTGTAGAAGCAAACCCAGACGTGTATGCTATAAACGAATTACTTTTTGCTGATGATCAAAGCATACTGTATCAAAATGAATATGATCTACAGGAACATCTGACTACTCTCAACAACAGCTGTTTACAACATAATATGAGAATCAGTACAGAAAAAACAGAAGTTATGAAGATCAGCAGAACACACAGGCCACTGAATATAAATGTTGGAAGTGCCAAAATCAAGCAAACCAAAGAGTTCAAATACTTGGGCAGTATATTTACAGAGGATGGAAGAATGGACAGAGAGATAGAAACAAGAATACAGAAAGCAAATGCTGTCACATACCAACTATCACCTCTGCTTAAACATCCAGATATAACCATGAAGACCAAAAGACAATTGATAAACACCATCTTCATTCCAACACTCTGCTACCAGTGCCAGACATGGACAATCAACAAGACCCATGAAAGAAAAATAGAAGCCTGTGAAATGAAATGTCTAAGAAAAGCAGCGAATAAGACCAGAATAGACAGGATAAAGAACATAGACATTAGAAACACTGTCAAAACTACACCATGTTTAGACTACAAAGAACATCAAAGAATGAAATGGTTTGGACATCTAACCAGGATGAAAAATGATCAAATAACATCACAAATTTTCAACCAAAGAAGCTCAGGATATAAGGCAAGAGGAAGACCAAGGAAACTGTGGATTGACGGGGTCTCCGAAACCTGCCAAAAGCATGGCCTCAGAACATCAGATGCTGCCCGCCTTGCTTATGACAGGAACTTGCATCTCCCCACAACGCTTAACGGCATACGTGGAAGGAAAAAGTAAAGTAAAGTAAAGTAACAGATATTCATTATCTTGGGTGTCTTACATTGATAGCCTAAACAGTTGGAATATTTGACTGCAGTAATACGTGTTTATTATTTGGTTCTAGCTGAAAAACTACCCCCTGTGTATGAGCTACACTGAGAACCAACTGTGGTTCGGTGACAGGACAGGGACTTTGCATCTGCATGATGGTACAGACGGCTTGTTTCAACATGTTGGTGTAAGTCTAGATGTTTCATTATAGCTTCTTGCCAGTTCATGATATCTTCTTCTTCTTCTTGGCGTACACTGGCTGTAAACTCTGGTAGAAAGTTCTGGTTGTTTGACACTTCTGGACTTTAGTCTTTTTCCAGAACCTGAGGTTTGCATGTACATCCATTTTACAGGATCTGGCTTATCTGTGTGCAGACTGTTGGTTCCTTGCTTCTCAGGCAGATGCACTCCGACTTCAAAGGAAAATCCCCAAACTTAGCCAAGTTATACGACGTGCTTGTCCCCCCCTCCCTCCCCCCAACAACAGAACGCGCGGGGGGGTGGGGGGGGGGGGTCATGATGTAAGCAGTAGTAAAAGACCCATTTTTCATTCATTATGGCGTGTGCAGCCTTTTAATTTTTTTTTCTTTTTAAATTATTCATTTAAGCTGAAAACCATGTTCTGGCAGGGCAGGGCAGACTAGGCTTCTAGCCTTGGTTGGCAGGTGATCTGGGATTTAGGTTCCTATGGGTGAACATACAGAGCACTGCTCTTCTGATCAGGCAGCTTCTGTAGCATGCTTCATTCCAAATACATTGATGTTACTTTTCCTTTGGAGTTAACAAAGCAGGTCAGGAGAGAGAGACCATACTGAGTGGTCAGTGTGTGGTCTTGGTAAAAGTGCCCAGGCTTTGTGCTGTGGAAAGGAGGAGCTTCATCCCTAGCCTAAATAGGTATCACCAAGGGTGTTATTTCCATACCTCTGTATACCTAGCACAATGAAACTCTGTTGTCTGAAAAAAGCTGGAAGATACCAAGAACTAATTACATATTCCACGTGTTTTTTTTTTTTTAGGTCTCTCTTTCCTAGGCTGTTTAAATGTGCAAGGATATTTTAAGTATATTATTATCATGTTTTTTTTTCTTTGTATGTGTTTTATTCAACACCTCTTTATTCACCAGAATTTGTTTAGTTCATTCCCAAAACTCCATATTAATGATTCAGTCATATCACTCAATTCTCCCTGTTGTCCACAGAAATGAATTTTTGTAGTTTAGTACTAATTGTTTTAGTCGTTCTTTATTGTTCTGATCTATACAGCTCTACTGATTTGATGTTAGATTTTAATATTCGGAAATTGACCCGTTGCCTATCTATTCTCAGTCCTATGACATTGGCCATACTGAGAAAATGACTGGAGTTGTGAGTACCCGTGGTGCCATCTATACATGCTCGGGTGACAGATCCATCAAAGTGCTGCATCCGACCACAGACCCGGATATAATCACCACACTGGCTGTGCATGATAAAGAAATTGCCAAGGTATGTTACTAAATTGTCTCATTTTGTCTCATCTTTATCCTCTTGTACCTTGTGCTGTCATGGTGGAGTTTAAACTGCTGGTGAGTGCCATTTGTGTTACTCATGTTTGGAGGTTCCCGGGGACTCTGTTATTCCCACAGTCTATTTGCCTCTCTTACGATTTCCACTTGGTCTGTACAGAATGTTTGTTGTCATGTACCATATTTTTCTGTGTATAAGACAATATGTATTCCTAAATTCTTTAAGTTTAAAATTAGGGGTTGTGTTGTACAAAGTGTTTAAAATATATATTTCCTAATTTCGGGCTTTGAAAAATAGGGGTCATCTTATACGTGGGGGTGTCTTATACATAGAAAAATATGGCATTGTCTGTGGGAAATGTGTGAAATAGCTGAACCCTGTTTTGTTGTTTGATAAAAGTTTAGTGCTGTTACTGTCTTTACACATTTTCTTGTTAATTTTTGTCTTTTAAAATTTGTGTTCTTCTTTCTGTTCCCTCTGCCAGTGGTTTTTAGACAAGAAAGCCATAGACCTCTGTGAAGAACAGTGATGCATGTCTTCCACTGATCCATTCAGTTTGGTTAGCACCTGAATGCTAACTAGAAATACCCAAGCCCTCTCTGCTCCATTCAGAGAATAAGTCTGAAGCATATGTTCAGTATTCTGTAGGGTCTGTCCACGTGAGCAAATGTCTGAGTCATAAATCTGAAATTTCTTGCATTGGTGGCTGTGGAGTCTGTTGTTTGCAGTCTAAAAACTGAGGTCTTTGTTTTAATTTGAGGATGTTATTTGGCTCTTGAGGAGTGTGGCTTGATCTGGGGTTTTATTTTCCTCATAAGTGTATCGTGCATCTGGCTGTTGTGCATTATTTCCAGTTTCTGCTAAGTAGTCTGCTTTTCCTTTCCTTGTTGCCATGGCCTGAAATCCTCTGGAGCACGGTCTGCTTTAGTAACTTGTTCCATTTGATTCATCAGAGGTCTAAGTTTGTAGAACTGTAGTTGCTTATTATTTTGTATTGCTTGCAATACTGAGCTTGCATCTGTCAGTATAACAACTTCAGACTAAAAGCTGCATTCACTGAGTAATATGGAGAATGTGTCCTCCAGTTCCATTGCCTTCAGTTTGTAATTGGAGAAGTATTTTCTTTTTCGGAGACTGCACTTTTTTTACTGTACCTTTGGTCCATTTAGTATGCATTTCAGCTGCTCAGATAGGTATTTAAGAGAAGAAAAATTTGTTTTATAACTGGTTTATTTATTATTGCTTTTTACCTCCTTATTTCCATACAGTCTGTAGAAGCAACTCAGTGTGTTTGTTGATTACTCTGTTTGTGGTATTCTTCTGTTTATAACTTTTTTTTTTTTTTAATGTTCATTTGAGGATATAATTATCTCTACTCTGTTTTTATGTATATACTTTATGTTCCTTACAGGGTTATAATTAAAGTCAGTAAATAGGTTATTCGACATCTGCTTGTTTAATTTAAATTTCTGTGACATATGGTGTCATTTCAATGGTTTGAGACAACTTCTGTCCGTATTTCATAGTTGTGCATTTCAAGCTGTATGAAAGAATTGGCCAATAAAGACACCCTTTTTTTTTTTCCAGGGGTGCCTAGTTGGTCATTTATCTTGGTACACTTGTTTCCACAGCGAGACACACATACTATTTGTAGGTGAAAGGTTCTATTCCTAGCTATCAACTGTAGCTTTCAATTTTTATTTTGTCTAATGTGTCCTTCTATCTTTCTGCTTCTTTCTATACAGACATTTAAAAAAAAAAAAAACATTTACCAACATTTGTCATTGAAATACTCATTAATTTAGTTTGCATTAGTTGTAAGAAGTACGTAATGCTTTTATTTGACGTGTGTGATAGAACAGCCCATTATTTCTTCCTTAGATTGACTACAACAATGGTGTCTTGGTAAGTGCAGGGGGAGATGACTGCATCGGTGTGTGGCTGCCAAAGCACTGGGGCTCTGACACATATTTGATTTGAGGAACATGAGCTGGTCTTTGCTAGTCAGGCTTGCCATCACCATGGGCTGTGATTTTCATGCCTCATTATATATATATAACACAGTGGAAACATGATCATCGGAAAGGACAGCAAGATGCCAACAGTGCACCCAGATATTAACTTTCGGTCACCTTTTAAATGCTGCCTCCAAAATATTCTTTCTGTCGCTCTGATAATATGCTTTCAAAAGACTGCTGTTCATCCATGCCTGAGTGCTACCTTTCCATTGTGTTTCTGCTCACCTGCCTTCAACTTTCTCTCTTCATTGTTTTTTTATATGTGTACTGTGTCTTTAAACATGGCCGATATATCTGAGCTGTGGGTTTTTAGTATGGCTGCTTTATTCAGTCTCATGGATATGCTTGGAAATATAGTTGCTATTTAATGAGATATTTAAGATTAGTATTTTGTGTTTTAGATTTATTCCATTTTGTTAGCTGAAACTAAGGCGTGCACAAAAACAAATGGCATATACAAAGGTGTATATGGGTATGTGACATGTACAGAAACAGGAGAGAGATGTAGAACCTCCAGGCAGACAAAAAACAAAGTGGAAACATAGAAACTCTTCAGCAGTAACAAGTGTCTAAGGTCAAGGTAACTAGAAGGGCAAGAACTTAAACTCTACTTCAACATTCAGAGTAGTAAAAGAGAAAGTGAAGGAAAGACAACTCTGCAGCATTAATGAATAATTTCACACCAAGCTAAATCACGGTTAAAAAATACTCTTATTGCCAGTTATTTTGTATCAACAGCAGATTTTTAATTTATATTATTTTGTATTCTTCATTTCACGCAATTATATGGTGTTAATTTTGGAATTTAATAGATATCCATGCCTGCTGGTCCAAACATTAACATTACATGCCATATCACACTTGATAGAAGCTGCATAACTGTAGATTGCTAGCAGAGAGGACACTTTAAATGCAGATGCAGAAGAAGGTCATGTTGTAGTTTACACATACAGGTCATTATTCGAGGCAAGCGAAATGCATGAGCATTCACAGTGAGCTAAAGGGAAATAACAATCAAGGAGATGAATGGCTGTTAAACTAGTAGTGTCACAGTGGAAACTGTGGCTGTAACGAGGGCATTAACATGGCTTGGTACTCTAGAGTTCACACATACATGCATGCTTAGGGGGGGAAAACCATCAAGGATTTAGATAGCTGTTACAACTAGTAGTGTCACAGTGGAAACTGTGGCTGTAACGAGGGCATTAACATGGCTTGGTACTCTAGAGTTCACACATACATGCATGCTTAGGGGGGGAAAACCATCAAGGATTTAGATAGCTGTTACAACTAGTAGTGTCACAGTGGAAACTGTGGCTGTAACAAGGGCATTAACATAGCTTGGCACTCTAGAGTTCACACACACGTGCATGCTTAGGGGGGAAATCCATCAAGGATATAGATAGCTGTTACAACTAGTAGTGTCACAGTGGCTGTAAAGAGGGCATTAATATGGCCTGGTAATCTAGAGTTCACACACACGTGCATACTGGGGGAGAGGGGGGGGGAGGGAACCATCAAGGAAATGAATAGCTGTTACACCTAGTAGTGTCACAGTTGAAACTGTGGTGTAACAAGGGCATTAACATGGCTTGGTACCCTAGAGTTCACACACACGTGCATGCTTGGGGGAAAAACCATCAAGGATATAGATAGCTGTTACAACTAGTAGTGTCACAGTGGAAACTGTGGCTGTAACAAGGCCATTAACATGGCTTGGCACTCTAGAGTTCACACACGTGCATGCTTAGGGGGGAAAACCATCAAGGAGATGAATGGCTGTTACAACTTGTAGTGTCACAGTGGAAACTGTGGCTGTAACAAGGGCATTAACATGGCTTGGTACCCTAGAGCTCACACACCCGTGCATACAGTGACTCAATGAATATGCTTGAGAAAATACAGGCTGGGTTCATCAGCCAAGAACGGTTTGCAACACTAAGCACTTTGCTAATGGCTGGCCCAACCTTCATCTTTGTGCCAGGTCATGTGAGTGTTAGAGACAATGAGCATGCAAAACATCTACGATTGTTATAGATTGTCTGATATTGGACAGAAGTGATGTTTTCGATTCCATGGGTGTTACTTTACACGACAATGAAGACGGCAAAGGGCATGACTCTGTATCCCTGTCTAGACTGATGGACATGGGAGAGCAACCTGGAGCTGCAAGAAGTGAACATTTCACCAAGGGGACAAGCGGTTTCAGTAACCAACACAGAACAGGCGTTATCAGTTGTTTTACACTTCTGGAGCTTCTGGGGAGGAGATGGAAGTACCTATGGATCTGTGATGATAATCCTCACTGATCACTAATTGTTTTGAGATTTCACATACTTCACTGGAGCCGCGTTAGCGCAGTTGATACAAGGCTTGCTTTCAAATCCAGCTGTGACTCGCTGCAGCCATAGTCAGTGTTTGTAACCGGGCGGCTCCCAGGGTTCACCCAGCCTCTAGGAAATGGGTACCAGAGTGACACTCTGGGGTAAATGGAGGAACGTGGCTTTAGCTACAGAGTTACTGCGGTCAGTGACACAGACCGACAGTTTCTTATCAGCTATCCGCACTGGTGGCAGAGCACTTATGGTTTATAACCGTGTGCAATGACGCTGGTTCACACCTCCCGGCTTTACCTTTTACTTTTACATACTTCACCATTGGCACCTTTCGGTCCTTCCAGACGAAATTTTATATTGCGCTGTGAGGAGGCATGAGACTCACAGCCCATGGCGATGGCGAGTGTGACTAGCAAGACCCACCCGTGTCAAGAAAAGTCTTCCCCAATGATAGCATGGGATTTCAGGACCATTGATAACAACATTTATGTTTAATCCGTTTCTTTTCAGATGCTCAGCTCTCATCCTTTCTGCAATTATTTCTTCCTTCAGTCTCATTCCCTTCCTGATATGCCCTTTCCACACAACACGGTCCATGGCAGTTTGTTCCCAGGAGTCCACCTCAATACCTGTATCATTCATGTCCCACTTGCACACATCTTTATAACATAGTAGGGGTTGGCCTCGACATCTTCTTCCTGTCTTTAATTCACCATAAAGGATGTCCTTAGGGACTCTGCCATCTTCCATTCTTCAGGTGTGACCCAGCCACCTGAGCCTTCGTAGACTGAGTATGAAAAAGACTGTTGTAGTACCTGCTCTTTCCAGTACCCCAGTGTTTGTGATTTTGCCCTGCCACTTAATGCCAAGTATTCTTCTTAGGCATCGCATGTGAAAGCTATTGAGCCTTCTCTCTTGGGGCAACTAGGTTGACCAAGTTTCACTGCCATAAAACAGAGTGCTGAGAACACAAGCCTGATAGACAAGGGTGTTTGCTTTCATTGTATGCTTTCTGTTCTCCCAAAATCTCTTTGTCAATCTGCTCATTGTTATTGTTGCTTTACCTATCCTGATTTTTTATAGTTACTATTCACTGTGGAACCCAGAGAGGTAAAATGGTATACTGTCTCCAGCTCTTCACAGTCAATGTAGACTGTAGGTCTGTCATTGACACCTTGCACCATAACCTTTGTCTTCTTTTTGCTGTTAGTCCAAATTCACAGCACGCATCAGAAAAGGCAGATAGTAAACACTGCAGCTCCTCCTCACGGTGGGTGGTTATTGCGGCATCATCTGCAAACAGCAGCTCTCTGATAAATACCTTTCTTATCCTGGTTTTGGCCTGCGTGTATTGTAAAGGCTGCCGTCAGATCGAGAATGAATGAAAATGCCACTCTTCTGATCTCGAAAGGCATGTGTCAGAAGAAGTGAAAAGTATATTCCAAAGAGGGTAGGAGCAAGTACACACTCCTGCTTTACTTCATTTTTTTATTAAAAACTCCTCTGATGTTACACCATCAGAGTTGATTGTACCTTTCATACCTGTGTGGAACGACTCAATAATACTCAGTAGAGTAGGTGGACACCCAATCTTCTTCAGTGCACTGAACAGACCTTTTCAACTAACCAAATCAAATGCCTTGGTAAGATCAATAAAAGCAACATACAGTGGTTGATTTTGTTGGCGACACTTTTTCTGCAACTGTCGTAACGAAAATATCATATCTGTGGTAGATCGGTTCCCACGAAAGCCACACTGGGACTCTGGTAAATGCGATCCCCCAGGATCTAGAGTCTTCGCATAACAATTCTCACAAGCACTTTTCCAACAGTACACAGCAGTGATATTCCCCTGTAGTTATTGCAGTCACTCCGATCACCCTTGTTCTTGTACATAGTTATGATGTTTGCATCTTTGAAATCTTGCGGAATCTCTCCCTCTTGCCAGCATCACTTCACCATACTGGTTAGAAATGCTGATTTGCTTCTTATGTAATGTTTATATTATTATATTGTTATTATTATTTACCTTGTTTGTTAAGGTAAGATATTAGTATTGCTATGTTGATTGCTTCAATGAAAGCATAATTTAGTTACATGTTTGAATATGCAATTTGCCTTGAGTAAAGGTTACTTTACAAAAAAGATCTGGAGTGGTAGTGTTTTGTGAATGAAGAATGATGGCTGCTGTTTTGAATTAGAACATTTATGTCATTTAAAAAAGCGTGTTTTGAAAATGGCCGAGGTTTAAAATATTATGGTGTTAAGGTGTGTTTTGACATACTTTGATATACAATTTTTTTTTAATTTATTGTTGTTGTTGAAATTCTTATTCTGTCTAAACCAGTGGCTCTCAGCTTTCCTAATGCTGCAACCTTTAAAGCAGTTCCTCATGTTGTGGCGACCCCCAAACATACAATTATTTTCATTGCTACTTCATAACTTCAGTGAATATGTGTTTTCCGATGGTATTAGGCAACTCCTGTGAAAAGGTCATTTAACCCAAAAAAGGGTTGTGATCCACAGGTTGAGAACCGCTGGTCTAAACCTTCTTTCAAAGACGCAAACAGCAGAAAATGGAGAGTGAGAAGAAACAATGAAATTCATAATCTATCTAAATCTTCAC